GTTTTCTCAATCATATAATTCACTCTCAGGTTGAGTTTCTATATAATAAAAATAATAATCCTTGTGGTTGTCCCACCCCTGGCCTCTAGGTGTCAGTGTGGGTTTCACTGCAGGTCTCTTCATCTCGAACTGATTCTGTTTCGAGAGAAACGTGTGACTTCCTCTTCACCGCTGTGTTCAGTTGTGATTGGGGAGCGGAGTTATGGAAGTGTCCGCAGACTAACGGAGCCATGAACATCTCATTTAGTGTTGACACCATTTAAACAAACTGCAAAGTTCGTGTTGCTTGTGTAACCCGGGAACTCAGAGCCCGGGCGGCCTGACACTCAGAGTAATTGCCAACACACGCATGAACAATCAACACAACCTGATTTTTTCCACATTRTAAACACCTCAGACGCCGTCACGTGTGGCAGCCTGCTAGATTCTACTATACTTAGCTCTGCAATCTTTTAGTAAACCGGCAGAAGAATCAAGATTGATAAAATCTTATCTCATTGATACTATCACAGTTATTATCCTTGAACTGTATGTCATAACAAAGATACCTCAAACATCACTTGATGAYAAAATACAGACTTCATTACTGTTTTATTCCTTGAATGATTCTTAGATTAATGTATATTTTACACATTGACTACATTTTCTTGACTAGCTTGAGTTTTCTAGTAAACATTTAAATCTACGCACAACGAGGAAATTACATATTCTCTTTTTTTTTTTTTGCTAAGTAACTGAGTAACTTCCTAGATCAGTAAACCTGCCATAAAATCTGATGCCACGGAGCAGCAGGACGTACTCTCTCTAGAACTGACAAAGTTGTTTCTAAATATCGAAGATATCATGGGAGACTTAAAAATCAGGGACTATGACAGCATCGCATCTTTTCTTGGAACGTGGGGACCTTTTCAGTTTAAGATTTTTCTTGCACTGGCCATCAGCATCCTCCCGAATGGRTTTARCGGCATCTTTATKGTATTTGTGGGTGATACCCCACCTCACGAGTGCTATATCCCTGAGAATTATAGCATCAGTGACATGTGGAGAAATGTGACAATCCCACTGGAAACAGTCAATGGCATCGAGAAGCGCAGCTCCTGCTRGAGGCTCAACCTGGACATGATCAGGAACTTCTCCCAGAATGAAATTGTTCCAAATGTGGATGTAAACGTGAYTGAAGTTCCACTGGAAAGTTGTTTGGACGGGTGGACGTACAGCAAAGAAATCTACCAGTCCACCATTGTCACAGAGGTGAGCAGGAAAGTCATGAATGGACTTCTCTCTGAAGATGTWTAAGTGCAATTAGAGATGGATTTTATTTTGTAACTATTCAGAAGGGTCAGAGTTAATGTAATCTGTAAGTATCCAGTTTAGGATGTGGAATAATCACCATGATCTATCAGCATTTTAAGCAATTTGCATAAAAAGTCATCACGAATAGTTATGGGTAATAATCAGAAACGTGAGACAGGAGACTTTGAATTGAAAGACACATGCTTATGTGTAAAGTCCAAACCAAATCAACTACGYTAACAAAAATGCCTGAGTTACATGAGCACAGAGAAGGGTCAAAGGCKAAACTTTCAATCATTATATTACTCATACACACAGCCTTCTGTTTGCCTTTGAGAATACTGTACACACAAATCATTCACAAAGAAATTCTAAAATGAGAATAATGACTATATACTGTTGTGTAGGTTAGTGTAATCAGTTATTCTTTGAGGTGGGAGGAAACAAAGTACATTTACTTTGTTTCTGTATCTTAAAGGAGCTTAGRCTAGTGTTGAGCTGAGATGGTTAACCCCTGAGTAACCTGGTTACATGGAAATGGAGTTCAGAGGGGAACTTGTTATTTTTATACTTCAAATACTTTTCATAGCCTGTACTTTAATACTTTTTAACCTAAGTTTTCTACTTGAGTAAAGAATGTGTACTTGTGTCACCTCTGGTTATTCTCTTCTCATTCATTGCACTGATGGATTTTGCAGTGGGACTTGGTTTGTGACAATGCATACAAACTTCCACTGTCTACRTCCATCCATTACGTTGGGGTGCTGTTGGGAGCATTAATCTCAGGCCAGATGTCTGACAGGTCTGTACTGCACACTGATTTTTTTTTATCATTGTTTCATTATTTATTATTATTAAGTTACTCAACAATAAAATGTGTTCGGCCTACTCAGGTATGGACGGAAGCCTGTGCTCTTTAGCATGATGATCCTTCAAACTGTGTCGATCACAGCCCAGATATTCTCCCCAAACTGGGAGGTCTTCAGCTTTCTGTTCTTCTTGGCGGGTGCCGGGGGATTTTCCAACTYTATCATTGGATTTGTGCTGGGTATGTTTTCCATTAAGGATGCAGTGTTTGGTTACTGCTTCATGCGTCAGGTCACCTTTTGACAAATTCTCCTTTGATTTATTACAACTACAGGAACAGAAGTTTTAAGCCCAAAAGCCAGAGTGGTCTTCTGCTCCKTTGGGGTTTTCATGGCCTRGGCTGTGGGTTACATGGCGATGCCTGCCGTGGCTTACTTTATCCGTGAATGGCGGATGCTGCTGATTCCTATGGCAGCCTCTGGCCTGATCTATGTCCCTCTGTGGTGGTGAGAATAATCTTCTCACACAGCAGCCTTAACATTTCTTGGTAGTGTCCTTAAGTTCATAACTTGGTGTGATGTTGTAAATTCTTAGAGGTGCAGACTCATAAACAATRAATAAAATYWATCAGTTTATTTACTTCAACTCTCCAGGTTTATTCCAGAGTCTCCTCGCTGGCTGCTCARTCAGGGACGGGTGAAGGAGGCAGAGGCCATTCTGAGACARGCTGCCAAGGAAAACAACATCGAGGCTCCGCAAGACATTTTTACACAAGCTGAGGTCAGTTCATCAGCAAGTTGTGATTTTTATGTTTTCTGGGTGTCRGTCGTCCGTATAATTCTGAGGGGAAAACTATGTAGATGGAAACTMCACTTGTTGACAGAGACACCACAGTGTGGTAATTGTGACTTTACACCTCCTAAAATATATAAAATAAAATGCAACCTTTTTATCATTTGTAACACGTGATCTCTAGGCTCAGTGTTGCTTTTCAGGTTTTCCTATTTTGTTAGGTCACTTATTTTACGACCTAATGTCTAAACTGTCTCTATGAATATGAAGAATCCAGCTCTSTGCTATCTGTTTGTGTGGCAGGGCTCATGTTTCATCTGTGGAGTGGATCTTTCTAGCGTTAAATTGTTGCAACCATTCCTCTGTTTTTTTTCCAGATCGATGACGCCCTGGCCATGAAAGACACAAAATACAACATTTTAGACATCTTGAGGAACTGCAACATGTTCTCCGTCACATTAATTTGCTCACTCCTGTGGTACGTCAACGGTTTCCTCACATGACCCAAAACCATACACTGTATATAAAGATGGACGACATGACTGCTCCCCAAAGGTGAAGCCAAATCATCTAGGCTACGTTCTGGTGGTTGGCTGCAATATAAGTCATACACCCTGTTTCCTCCATGTTCGTGAATGGGAGATATATGTTCATGTTTCACATAAGTTRGGTTTCAGCYGGTCTACAAAGCAGAACCTTGCTACACAAATGAGMAATATGTTGGCTTTTGTGCTTCCTGATCTTGTGAGTTTTCACTTTACTGTTCTGCATGTTTCTGCAGGGTCATCATCACCCTCAGCTACTACGCTTTAATCCTCAACACGTCAAACCTGCATGGAGACCCTTACATTAACTGCTTCTTGTCTGCTGTGACTGAGGTGCCAGCTTACCTAATCGCTTTATTACTGCTGCAGCGCTGCTCCAGGCACATCTGCCAGTCATCTTCACTCTTCCTCGGGGGRGTGATGATCCTCTGTGTTCAGCTCATTCCACTTGGTAATGCTTAAATCTGTGGCTCAAGAGGCAGGATGGTGACGAGTCAAACTGTACAAGCAGTTCACATAAATATGTTGAGAAATAAATTAACATTATGACGGATATGCTAAGAAATGAGGTACATATCACTGCCAAGGCCAAGGAGTCAACTTCTGAACCCACATTTACATTTTATATTTTCATTTACATTTGGAGCTGCACAAAATTACACATCCTTAAAGTTATCAGGACCATTTGACATTTGTCTGTTAGCTGTAGTTAAAGTTATCACTCTTTTGTTTCCTTAGATTTACCAGTTGTGGCTGTGTTCCTCGAGATGCTGGGGAAGTTTGGCATCACATGTGCTTTTTGTATTGTGTACGCCGTGTCGTCAGAGCTCTTCCCCACTGTTATCAGAAATACAGCAATGGGGTGTTGCTCCATGTCGGCTCGGATTGGAACCATCATCTCTCCCTTTATCATTTACCTGGGTATGTGCATGTGGTTTACTATTTTTAGAGAATAGAGCTGCAGTGATCAGTCAGTTAATGGAGCAGTCCGTCAATAGAAAATGAATCTGCTATTTCAGCCATGTTTCAATTCTCAACTTTCAACATTCTCTGGTTCGAGCTTCTCACATGTTTACTCTGTCATACATGACACTAAATTCTATATTTGAACACAAGTTACCARAGTAAGAAGTGTCTGGGGAGGYMWTCTTGCCTTAATTTCAAAATATGGATTCCAACATAAATGTCAAATTTTCTCATTTTCCTCATCGTACACAAATTTTGCACCTATTGTCAAATTTTCAACTACAGGTTCAWCTACTACTTGTATTTCCTTTGCCGTCCTCATGATTATTCTTTTTCGCTCTGCGTAGGAAGATATTTCAGGGCACTGCCGTACATATTGATGGGGGCTCTCGCCATCTCTGGTGCRGTCTTATGTCTCCTMCTGCCTGAAACTTTTGGGAAGACGTTGCCAGAGACCTTTTCACAAATGCAGCCGATATGGAGGTGAGTGTACTCACTGTGAACATGCTTGACTGATCCCAGTGTTTTAACAATCCTGCACAGAGGGAGCCAATTCAAAGGTCACAGCTTTCAACTACTGACAGTTCAAAGGAAATGTTAAAAATTGACTTGAATAACACATGCAAAGTTGGGTTTTTTTACATTTTTTTACAAATCACTGTCACAAAAGTTAATTCGTTAGTTTTCTTTGGTATTTTTTATGTAACAGTGTGTCAATGTTAAGGTTTTTAATTTAATATCTGATGAATTTGTTGCTCTTACACTTTCAATGTGCAGAATTGTTTCAAGTGATCACAAGGAAAACTGCAATTGTTCCATGACCTTTGTTGTCACTCTTACTGTAACCATTATACTGTTGTTAAATATTATCTCAATGATCAAACAGGAGAAGAGGGAAAAACCAGAAGGAAGCTGAACATGGAGAGAAGACGGCTGAATATCAGAGTAAAGAATCCAGGTTATAATGAATTATCATCTTTTGTATATCTGCATTGTGTTTATTTGACTCTAACTAGACACCAGGGGCCTGGAGTAAAAAGCAGGATTTTTGCTTATCCTGGTAACTTCYGGTTTACGTCAGGATTTTCAGTCCTAAAAAACTTGTTTACTATTGTGGCAAATCACCTAACTGTGTTTCTTTTAGCCTGGATAACATATTTATACTCATATTGTTTCAATATAATAGTTTGCTGTGAAATATGCAGCWCTGCTGTCAGCTCACTTCTCCATGATGGTGATTGGTCAATCGCAGTAAACTCCGCTTTTTATTTGTACTCACCCATAGCAAGAGAAGGAAAACCTCAGTTGACTTATTGAGTTGATAACCAGCGTCATGAGACTAATAACATTTGTTCGGTACACACAAATCCTAAGTATGTTGAACTCCCTTTATTATATAGGCCCCACATTTTATGAAATCTTTGTTTTTGTTTGGTTGTGTGTCTTATATTATTGGAAATGTTTAAAATYTTGTATCTGTCTAATAATTTACAATGTAGCAAGTTGTTAGTTTTTGTGACTGCAGACCCCATGAGGAGCTMTGTTGCAGAAAACTAGAGACGGCATGTTTTAAAAAGACATTCATTTGTTTTTATTTTTAGACTGATTTACAGTTCGTTTGTTAAAGCTTCTGCATTTCTCCCTAGAAAAACAAATCACTGTGAAATTAGTAGATCAAAATAATCTATTTGAATATGTTAAAATGAGTCATATTAACTTTCATAGTCATAAACAGTCATAAAAACGTATTGATTCAGTCTTATATGAATCAGCATTTCAGGGAAAAGAGTCAGAAACACAACTATAAATCGGTTATTACTTTCATTGTTTAGGTTTTTACTGTGTTCATTTAGTTTAGCTCATTAACCGCTGTCGCCAGCGTACCTGACCACGTGAAGCACAACCCATTCACTTTCAATTTTCATTTCTCAGGTTGGATAAAATAAACTGCACTCTACTACTCTATACTCTAACATCCAATTATTTTGTATTTTGTGACACTTGAAATCATAATAGTTTTTTAAGCATGTGATGATGTTATAATAAAATAAATAATAAATGATTTCTAAATGTCTCGTCTCTTGAAATGGAGGAATCATTCCTAAAAGCCTCAGGTAGAAGCTTCCAGATACATTTTTGTTTTTAGATGGTACTTCACCATCTCTGAGGGTTCTACATCGATCACTGACTAGAATTTAATTGTGCCCATACAGCAGTGAAAAATGACAGGGCACAATCATCTAGCCCTTGGCAATCTTTTATTAAATTACATATTCATACAAAGCCTTATTCTTGTTTTCTCAATCATATAATTCACTCTCAGGTTGAGTTTCTATATAATAAAATAATAATCCTTGTGGTTGTCCCACCCCTGGCCTCTAGGTGTCAGTGTGGGTTTCACTGCAGGTCTCTTCCCTCGAACTGATGATGTGTCGAGAGAAACGTGTGACTTCCTCTTCACCGCTGTGTTCAGTTGTGATTGGGGAGCGGAGTTTACGGAAGTGTCCGCAGACTAATGGAGCCATGAACATCTCATTTAGTGTTGACACCATTTAAACAAACTGCAAAGTTCGTGTTTCTTGTGTAACCCGGGAACTCAGAGCCCGGGCGGCCTGACACTCAGCGAGGAGGGGACGAGCTAGCCTCTTAGCTAGGCGGTGTGTCAGTGGACGACTTGTGGAAAATGGATTTCCTCTGTGATGTTCTTCAAGCTTTGGTCGCTTTAGCAGCTCTGTGTTTCATTGTGGTGAGTAGATATAATAACGAGTTCATGTTGTGCTGGCAAACACCTGTCCGAGCTTGGTTTGGTGTCCGTGATGTGAAGCAGAGCTGATTTCCATCTCTGTTCTTTCTCCATGTAATCAATGTAAACAATGTATTTTGCTCAGGTTAAAGGAATCTTATTTATTTTATATTTTCCCTTAATTAACGAGCCTGTATTTTCTCTTTGCTTCTGTGTATGAGGGTTTCAATGTGGCTGTTATCGCTGAGGAAACCATAATTTACAATCCCCCAAAGCAGCTGCAAGCCTGGTTCACTTAAAGGTGGAAAACCTAATTCTCAAGATTAGTAAATCCTCCCATGATTTACATAATGAAAGCCGACACATCAGCATATACATAACACACTTGTCCAGAAAAGCTGGATTCTTTTTCTCCTGTCTAAAGAAATGACACTTGTTTTTTTTAAATACCTGAAGGCAGAGGTAACATGAGTGACACTCCCTTTACAGGTGATCATTGTCGCACACGTCACTGCAGAGATGGTGAATCTAACACGCCACGAGAAGGAGAAATACTTCCTGACCGCCTCAGGAGAGAAGGAGCCCTTCCCCAGCTTGCATGATCCCCATTCCAGGGAGCTCTCGGTGGTCGTCCCCGCCTACAACGAGGAGTTCCGCAGTGAGTGATTGGGGGAGCGGTACAACCTGTTTCTGTTATGCACAGTCACCTCTGCAGGGACAGAGATCCAGTCCAGACTTGGTAACATCCGTCCTGAGTGATCTGATCCCATGTGGTCAATGTGTCCTGAGATCCAATGACTAAAAACACATTCAGAGGTGGTCTGGGACCCATGTGGCCACATTCTTTTTGCTCTGTTAAAGCAAATAAAAAGCACATTCGTCCGTTGCCAGATATGAAAGACAGAGTCCTCAGCTGCTACAGTTTCACAATGAATCTGTATTTTTACTCTTCTCTGTGACCAACTCACACAGGGTAAAAACAACTTTTATTTATTTGCACATACTTAACGCTGTCCTCTTGTGACCGGATCTCTCAGGACGAATGTTATACCAGGTCTGGACAGCGTCAGACATTACCCACTCAAGTCCCTTCAGCGTTTGACTGGGATGTATGGATACAGAACACTGTTGGATGATTTCATTTCAATTCCATTGCACCACATATTCACAGGATACAAACTGTTTAAAATATAGGGCACATAAGTCTGTGTTTTGAGCAATCAGTTTTTTTTGGACCTGAAATTTGTCACCAACAGTTAAATTGTGACAAAAGCACAATTTACTGAAGTGTCAACAATCCATTGTTTTTATAATTCACCTTGAACCTGCAGTAGGTTTTAGACACTAACGTGTGTAACTGTGTGTCATGCCAGTGCCTGTGATGTTGGATGAAGCTATGGATTACTTGGAAAACAGACAGGTAAGTGCTCAGCCTCAAATAGGCAAGTTGTTACTTTAACTTTATGATAGTTGGATTAGAGGGTGACCATTTAACAAGGCAAAACAAAGAAGGTTTCAAGTTGGATCCGTTATTCCCAAAAAGATCAGCAGGTGGCAGCATTCAACTGAAAATGTGCCTGTTTTCTTCTTGCAGAAACAAACACCATCTTTTACCTATGAGGTCATTGTGGTTGATGATGGCAGTAAAGACAAAACCACGGAGGTAATCACTCTAAAACTTTTGACAATCTTTTACTATTGACTTTATGTGTGCTTTGTGCCAAACATTTCAAAGTGGATGTGGTGTAGGTTTGTGTTGTGAGTGAACTCTGTTGTGATGTCTTGCCAGGTTGCTTTGCGATACACTCGGAAGCACGGTGCAGATAAAGTGCGTGTCCTGACGCTGGTGAAGAACAGGGGGAAAGGAGGAGCTGTGCGAATGGTTTGTCTGACAGCAGCATAAAAACATTGTTTAGGAGTGTATTTTGTTTTGATTGGATTTTTAGAAATAATTAGTTCTGTCCCTGTCTCATCTAAAGGGAACTCTGAGCTCCAGGGGTAAAGTCATTCTCATGGCCGATGCTGACGGCGCCACTAAGTTTTCCGACATTGACAAAGTGGAGGCAGGACTTAAAGACGTTGAGCCTAAACTGGTGAGTCTGTATCCAGTTTTTTTGTTGTTGTTGTTTTACATACATATTTAATATGTGGCAGTTAGTGTTTGACCATTCTGTCATTCAATCTCTATATTTAGGAAAACATGGCGATTTCCTGTGGTTCCAGAGCTCACCTGGAGAAAGATTCTGTAGCTGAGGTAATTGTCTTGCCTGGAGTATTGAAGGGTGTTGTCTGTTAAACCATGAAGTCACCACCACTGTTGTGTGTTTGCCACAGCGATCAGCGTTTCGTACATTCCTCATGTACGGCTTTCACTTCCTGGTGTGGTTCCTCTGTGTGAGAGGCATCAAGGACACACAGTGCGGTTTCAAGCTTTTCACTCGGGAGGCTGCACTCAAGACCTTCTCTTCTCTCCATGTAGAGCGATGGTAAGGTCTCAGATAACGTTGCATTAGGCATCATTTTGTTTTCAGTACTGACGACTGTTGGACACATTTAGATCAGTTCCAGTAAAAGTACCTTGAAGTTGTGATTAGTCTGTTTCATGAAGTCTGCAAAAAACAGATTTAAATGCTACTTTTAAACCTATCTTTTCTCTATTTCTTCTCACAGGGCTTTTGATGTGGAGCTCCTGTACATTGCACAGTGTTTTAAAATCCCCATAGCAGAAGTGGCGGTCAACTGGACTGAAATAGAAGGTAGGTTTTTCATGGAATATGCGGTCATGTATCCTCCCAGTGTGCCACCTTTCTGTTCTATAAATACCTCTGCAGGGGGTGTTTACACGCCTGTGATCGACTGATCACTTCTAGTTATTCCTCTGTTAGCAATTGTACTTTATACCCTCTGATCTTTTAGTTTGTCATCTCTTCAAAGATTTTTTTTCTTGACAGATTCTGACTTTGATAGATTTACAGTGTTACAGTCTTATTGCTGGTGTGATTATGTATTTTCTGATGAGATTATCGAATGGGCCAATCAGTATTAGATGTGAGCAAATTGGTATATTTCTATCATCTGTCCCTTTAAAAGCCTCATGTCTGTGCGTTTTCTCTGCCAGGGTCCAAGCTGGTCCCGTTTTGGAGCTGGCTGCAGATGGGTCGAGACCTGATTTTCATCCGCCTGCGCTACTTCACCAGAGCCTGGAAACTGGAGTCGCCTCAGAAGACTGACTAGCCGGTCAGACAGGCCGGTATCCCAGAGACAGCCTTTGATAGGGCCATCAAACCTTTTGGATGAGGTGGGATAAACAACCGTGTCTGTCGTACGCTGTAATCAAGTACAGTTTGCCACAGTCTTCTCCTTTCCAAATGTCACGGGAGGGGAAGTAAAGACACAGTTGTGGGTTCCTCGTGCTCCTGCCTTTATTTGAATATTCTGATATCGGCTTGTGATGGCCCCTGTTACACGCACACTTCTGTCGCCGCGGCTCACAGAATGTCCGTATGAATGAACCATGTTTTTTTTGTGGCCAATCAGGAGTGAGTGACAAGGACTCGTAGGAAATGTGATCATCTGATATTCTGTGCGTCATGATTAGACTGAATGTTGTTACTGTTTGTGAGATTGTCAAAAGGGAGGGACTGTGAGGAAACGTGTCAGTGGGATGGATGATTTAAACAGAAATAAAAAAAATATCAATGATTTATGATTTTGAAAGTCTTTATTAACCAAAGTAGTGCAACAATTAGTTAGGTATTTTTTATTTCATTTTCAAGCAAAAATAAAAATTAATTAAAGATTCCATATTCTCAAATTGCTTTTGCTTTTCTTGAACTGTCGTTGCTTTAAAATTAATAATTTGAACAATTGGTTTTACAAGAAATTCGATTTTATCTTATGCCAACAATTGACAAACTATGTTAATTGTGAAAATCAGTTATTTACAGTTTACTAATTATTTTAAAAATTGTCCGTAAAAAAAGTTCAATTCTGAGATTTGGTGAGAGGATTTTATGTCAAAGAGCAATAACAGCCAATAAAAGGCCTGAGGGTCTCACCATCACTCACAGGGCACAGCTCATGACCTTGTACAGTTTATCAGTCAAATAATAACGTGGCAGGAAACAAACACAGACGAGTTTCAACCTGTGGCCTAAAATCTGCTGCTGAGATCTTTTTACAAATAACCCGGAGAAGTTTCTTGTTTGTAAAAAGGCGGGGACCGAACCATCGATTTCTCAAGGATCTACTGCCTGAAACATTTTCACAACAGTCACCCCACAACGTTTTGTAGGGTGTGTTCTCACCTTCCATCGGTCAGATTCCTGCCTCTTTGCACATCCCCCAGCTTGTGTAAACTGTCTTGACGTGCTTAAACATTTCAACAGATGCCCCTTTATCTTCAATACAGAGGGTGACAATACATAATTGCTTCCAGCTCAGGTCACAGTTTCTCACACTGGGGGTCTAGAGGGTCTTTATCAGGCATTTTACAGAGAATGTTTTTTTAAATATTTTTAGAGGAAATGTCCAATATCTGACTCATAATTCCTGTTTTTCATAATGCGAGGCTGAGGTCTACAGGGTTATTCGTGTTGATGATGCCTCCGGAGCCTCTCGGAGCCCCAGGGAGAGCATCCTGTTTGTGCTCTGTGACCAGACAAGACACACAGGCGGCAGATCATGATCCGGCTCCAGTTTCCTGTCGCATTGAAATGCAACATCTTTAAAATATTTTTGGGGTATTTTGTTGATCAGATAAGAGGAAGGAAATGAATAGGATTTCATTCATGGAGATTAGTTTCACTTTGTAACATATTTGTGATGCCAATAATTTTTTTTTTTTTTTTTTTCAATGAGATGTTTATTAACCAGACAATTATATAAGCATGCCTTTATTTTACTATCACCTCCATGAAATCTATCATGACTCATTGTTTATTGATTATCATGAGTTGATAAACATGAGCCATGACAGATTTTGTGCAGGTGGTAATAAAATACAGAAATCATTGACATTTATATCAGGCTTTTATTTAGTTTAGTTTTATTTATTTCTTATTTACTCAACTTCCAAAGAGTGAGAATGACCATCATCAGTAGTTTAGCCCTGGACCGGACTCTTGGGACCATCCCCACCTTCTCAGAACGCACCGACATGGTGCATGTGAAGCCCGGGTTAGATCCACCTGGTGGAGGCGAACGTATCATGAGGTTTCAGCCCTGATCCCCGGAGCGGTTTCACTCCGTGTTCGGAGTATTGTTACGTTCCGCAGCAGTTGCTGTAAACTGTGAAAATGTCAAACTTGTAGACTCACTGTCGCCAGCCGGGGCTTGCGTCATTAACTGGACCAGTCACGGCACTCCCAATAAAAGGATCGTATCCATCCGCTATGAGAAGAGACCTCTCTGTGCCTCCCAACAATAGATCATGATACAACTCTCGTGTTTTTCTTAAGAGGAATAAAAAAAAAATGAGAGTGTGTGTTTCAGGGTTGGGTTGAGCTTAGGAGGAAGACTGTGGATCCTTCCTCCTCCAGGAGACTTTCTACTTTTATAGGCTGCAGGTGTAGAGTCTGTGCACGTGGAGGTGTGCACGTCAAAGAAGAAGAATGATTTATTAAATGAAAGAGTCCAGTGAGAAATAATCTCTTACACATATTAGCATGCTATTATAAGATCATGTGTTATTATTTGAGTTATTGCGAGTTAAACAATAACAGGATGAAGAACCGTGTGAAGGAGGAAGAACAGGTGGGAGTGTTGTTCTTCCTCCCCTCTGTTGGTTAGAGCCACTCACTGTGTTTAAAACCAGGTGGAAGCAAACCTGGGGTTGATTCCCGCGACTGTGCGTGGCTCAGGTGGCGCCGCGCACATGCACACGCACACGTGCACGCCCCTGCTGCTGGTTCAGAAATCCCTGAAAATCCTGTTGAAGTTCCAGGAGGGGGGGGGGGGGGGGGGGCGGAGGGATCTCTCGTGCAGGCGCTGCGGCTCCAGCCAAGCTGACGCCGCCGCGGCTGTGTGGCTCCGCTGGAGCTGCAGGAGGAGCAGGAGGCTCCGGGCCCCGCAAACCTGCGTCAATGTCCCCGCACAGCACCGCAGAGGAACCGGAACACTGCGGGACTCCAGCTTCACAATAAAGGCTGGTCAGTGACGTGTTGAGCTGAGCTGTGAATGATGTACCGTCAATTTAAAATGATTGATTCATTTAGATTAAAGAACTAAATATTGGAACGTAATTATTATTATAACTAATGATTATAATCTGTGTATGTTGGACATGATTATCATGAACATGTTGTTGTGTTTGCTGCGCTATTTTCTTACATATATGTGTTTTTTAAAATCATTTTAAGTCTATTTTTATTTTCAACTTGATTGAAATAAATAGCGAACATAAATCATGTTTTAACTTTCTTTTTGATAAATATATTGTATAACGTATAGGTATAAAATAGTAACATTACATTATTAGAATACAAGATGTGGTTTGTCCAATTAATGAATCGTGATTTATTCCTCTGACGCCACATCTCGATTAAGGAAAACCTCCATATTGGAGCTCAAAAATATAATTTCTTTACTATAGCAAAATATTAATAAACTAATTGAAAACAAAGTTAAATATTACACTGATTCACAGCACACACTCTCCATTCATTTCAAATTCTCGAACCCAATTCCACATTTTTAATTTTAATTTGTTTTATTAAATATTATTTCATGTTGTTATTTTTTCCTTATTTTTTTGTATCATTATTTTATTTACGTTTTCATTTTAATCTTCTTCTGCTTTTATTTTGAAATCTGCTACCGGACACCACACATACTGAGGTGAGCTTGACACTTCAACGTCAACACATGCTCGCAGACACACAAACAGACACACACCTTCGCAGAGCCACTACACCGGGACTCCTTCCCACGCGCAGGACTGTCTGCCGCGCACTTGTCATCACTGCTGAGGTGAGGACACAAAAACTAACTTTACATGTTTCCAGAAATGAAGAAATTCTCACACAACATATTATATTGTGAGTGTTTTCCTTTATATCCTTGAACTGTTGTTAAATACTTGTAAGAAGAAAAAAAACGTGGCACTGTTGGGCAACTTCTTGGGAATGAAATGTTCTAACATTATCATTATTTTGATTATGATCACATATTTAGTCAGATGATAAATCAATAAACCTATAAAGTCATTGATTTTGATATTAATCCACATAATTAGGATTGTGTTAAATGCATGCGTGTGACTGATTGATGTTGTGTCTGCAGTGCTGGTATCAGACTATGACAGGAATGACTGCTCGCATTTATCCACTGTGCCGTCAAGGTGAGGCTTTTAGTGGCTTAGTGCACAGGCTGGATGTTTTAGTCTTGGCACAAAATGACTGGTTGTAGTCGTAGTAGAGGAAGCTGGCGTGTTTACTTTATTTGGGGCAGGGGGTGTCCTGGTGATAAAGCATTAGGTAATTAGCCTATCTCAGGCTGCAGACTCAGTGACGCCAGGCTCCATAAAGCAGCAGCAGCAGCAGCAGCAGCAGCAGCAGCACAGGACTGATGCAGCAGTCAGTCTGTGCGCTCTGGCTGTCACTGTAAACCGCAGCTGTCTGTCTGTGCGTCTGTGTTAATGCTCCCACTACTTCTACAAACATGCAGCACAATGTAGAGCACTCAGGCTGGATTACACCACTTACTATTACCTGTTGGCATCCAATTAGAAAGTCCACAAAGTCCTGGAGGAGCATGATCTTGTTGTGTTGTGTCTCTTAGATGCGGATGATTGCATGTCCAAAAACAGAAGCTGTGGTTAAAAAAAAAAACCTCCACTTCACCTTTGTAGGGAGAATCTGCTCAACATTTACTCCTCCTGCACAACTAGCAGAAATAACCTGACATGCAAGAACGCTTTATAGTATGGTGGGAAGTGTTTTTCTGTCAATATGTTTTTTAAAGTCTGCACCAGGAGTGCACACAGAGCTGAGAGAGTAAGAATGCTTTACAGTAGAGCAAAAAAAAAGTGTTTTTCTACCACATGGGTCAAATATGATACCGTGTTCTGCAGGACGTCCTGCCACAGGAGATAAAACAAGTAGATCACCATAATAAAGCTACTATTGAGCCTCACATGTGCCTATTTTTACTGTATGAATCTCTGAGAAAACAGATGTGTCAGTAAGATTGCCACTGGAGCGACATGCACTAAAAAGGATTAAATATGCTGGTGGAACAGAGTGAGTACTTAATTCACCTTAATATTTCCATACCTGATTGATTTCATACCAGTTTTCAAGAGATTCTCAATGGGCAGAAAAACACAAACATAAAAACAGGGAGCTCTCTCTTTCTGTCTGTCTCCCTCGCTCTCTCTCTCCCTCGCTCCCTCTCCCCCTCCTGTCCTGTGATGTGTTCTGGCCAGACAGTATGGCTCCTGGGCGTCAGTGGCATGATCATAGAAACAGAGGCCAGAAAGGACATTCCTCATTGTTGGTGAATCTAGACATGAGCTTGGCCCCTTCTTGCCCTGCTCTCTCTCAGGCAGTTTTGGATATGTGGTTATACTTTATTGATAAGAATAATAATAAGAAGAAGAAGAAGAAGATAAGATAAAATAAAATAAAATAAGATGCACCTTTATTGATCCTCCGTAGAAGAAATTCAAAGTTGACAAAGCAGCACATGGAAATAGAAGTGTAAG